ATTGTCATTACCAATGTTTCGCTTAGCTAAAATAAAGTCCTTTAGTATTTGAACTAATTCGTTATCACTTTTAGTTTTCAAAGCGACGTTAATTGCGGTTTTAGCCGTTGAAAAAGCGACTCCAAATCTATTTCTTTGAGAAGTAATTTTTTGAACACTTGTACCATAGTTAGAACCTTGAAAATTCCTTAAACTTTGAAGATTTAAGTTCACTTGAATTGTAGTATCTATGGATGACTCTATTGCTGTAAGAGATGCGAGTTTTCAAGTACTTGATCTAATTTTGCAAGAATATCATCTCTGTACCATCTGATCGGTATAATACTAATGTGAAATCTAGTGGCACTAGAATAAAGCATAACATGCCAAAAATGGTGACAAATAATTCCCTTTGTAATCGTTTCCATACATGTGTATATATGGGATTCATCGTTAAAAAGCACTACCAAATTTTCTTTACATGAAAGTCCACCGATCCTACGAATTCTCCACATTTCAATAATATTTGATGTCCCATTATCACCTAAAATAGCTTTTAAAGTTGCTTGTGGTTCATTAACCACGTCCTCTATAAAATTATCATCTATAGTATCGAGACCTAAGTTCTACAATAAAATAAAAAAGTACCTTAGTTTTATACATACTATATCGCTTAATTCACAAATAAAACATACTTCAGATATCATGTGTTCTCTTTGTCCTTCGTAAGTAAAAGATTGAGAGATTTGAAATCGTTGTAAAGATAATATAAGTGGTGTCAAAAAACCGACAAGCACATTATCAACAGCTGAAAAGAACTGAGAAGAAATATGTAGAAGTCCAACTGTTGTATACTGCGCTTTAATATCCATTAATTTGCAGTATCTAATTTCTTGCTCATGCCTTTTATCAATTGCTTCTTCTAGTTCACAAAGCGTACTAGCGCTATTGAGAGATTTTTTAATAATATTATTAAACGATTCAACGCTTTGTGTGCTCTGAATGCCAGCATTAAATTGGAATGGTGTGTAAGCCCTGGCCCAACTAGACCTATTTGTATACAACTTCTTGGACATATACCGCTCACATTCTGGAAATGTCTTTAT